GTCTAAACGACGGGGTCAAAATCATACAATGTAAACAAAACTTGAAACCAGAATTATAATTAGAAAGTTTAATGCAACATATTAAACATACGACTTTTATTCGACTATATCTGTGCGAATATTACAGCTACAATAATTTTACACATATTGTCAGATAGCTGGGGAATTCAGCTACATTTTGGTACGAGCTATACTATTGTAGCAAGAGAATATTGAGCGAGAATTCGTTGCCTAAACGAGGGTGTAAAAATTGCCGTCGGAATACACATTCTAGTCGGACAATATAATGTCTGGTTTTAGGCACGAGGTTCAACCGCTTATATTATATTAATTCGAAATTTAACGACATACACCCCCAACGCGGATGGTTTGAAAGCTTGGGAAAATGCCTATATTTTAGTTGGATTTATATTCAGGTTAGTAGAAAATTCGCCGAGAAAATGTTCGCAACAAACTGTTGTTAATATGCCATGGAAATTCAAAAATATCTATTACATTTTCAAAATCTCGCCTTGCTGCGCATGTAAACACACGCATTTGAAGCTTTCAAAATATATAGTTATAAACCTTTAAAGACACAGTTGGAACGAAAACTTATTAAAATTGAAACGGCCTAGTTTGAAACTAATGATTTTCTTGAAAACCCGCCAATGTCCATTGATTTTTCGTCCTCGTTTCACCGACATCGTATATCAAAATCGAGCTTCAAATCAACAGTAATCAGTATTGATAAATAGTATTCACTATAAAAACTAACCTTCACTGTGTTTCCTTATTGGCAGCCTTGCACAAAATCCGATTTCTTGAGGTTGTGTATTAACAACTTAAACATTAGTAGTGATTTATAGGGTAAATACCGATAGGAATATCTACCTAATTTTTCTTGAAACTCGTCTTGAAAGTAACTATTTAGAGCCTGGATGTACGTCTAGCAGTAAACACTAACTGACTAAACGTCTGTAAACATTTATAGAAATTTCTTTAAAGTCATTATATTTGCTTCGTCACTATTTGTCATCGGTCAATGAATTCTTTACTCTTTAGCTCGCTAATTTGACTATTCAGCATGGTTCATACCTGGAGCAATTATTAACTGCAAAGCCTCCGCCTTGCATAACTACATTATTATTACATTCGTAATACCTGTTGTATATATTTTGCGTTGGGATTTCCGTAAAATATATCGCGGGTAAGGCTTTTTGTCCGCATCCGCATTTTATCCCTTTTGTCCGCATCCGCATTTTATCCCTTTTGTCCGCATCCGCATTTTATCCCTTTTGTCCGCATCCGCATTTTATCCCTTTTGTCCGCATCCGCATTTTATCCTTTTTGTCCGCATCCGCATTTTATCCTTTTTGTCCGCATCCGCATTTTATCCCTTTTGTCCGCATCCGCATTTTATCCCTTTTGTCCGTCCGTCCGTCCGTCCGCGTGTCCGTCCGCGTGTCCGTCCGTCCGTCCGCATCCGCGTTTTATCCCAACCCATCAACACTCATGAAAATACAATTATCTATAGGTGCTAATCTATAGGTTTAATAAAGCCAAGGCCACGTACAATGTGTAGGGATAAAACGCGGATACGGATGGCGGACGGCAGATATGACTAAATTGGGTTATTGCAATGCATATTGCAATTGCAATGCATATATATATATATATATATATATATATATATATATATATATATATATATATATATATATATATATATATATATATATATATATAGCTTAAGATTTTGGTTTACGAAACACAAACAGTGCTCAATACCATATAGATAGAGCGTAATATAGTTTTTCGTTTTACCTCAAAAAACCACAACAGTCTGTTTCATCCGTATAGGAATCATCAGGTGGTGAATAATTTCGAAATTGTAGGTTGCTTTTATGCTATCGAAAGAATGTGCGGAATGCGTGTAGGCGAAACAATGCTTAGGTGAAACAATGCATGCTTGGGTCATTAGGTTTTGTTAACGACCTTGTTTACTCGAAATCGGTTTTTGTGACGACATTTGCCGAAAATTTCGCTTCTTTTATTGAGTAAATTGTCTTTGTTTATGTCTTTCAAAATGCAAAATTTTTCTTCCAAACATAAATTGCAGCGTTTTGATCCCCCTGTGTACGAAATAGCGTGTTTTAAAATTGACCATTTGATGGTATAATCCTGATTGTTTTCTTTTAATTTCCAAATATGTTTCGAAAGTTCCGTTTTGTTTGAGTCTTTTTTATGACGAAAAGATGAAGTGTGGTTAGCGTAACGTTCCTTAAATGTAGTCGCTGTCATACCAATGTAGTGTTTAGTGTCGTTCGTGTTGTTCGTTGTGACTGTTGCTTTGTAAATAATGTTGTTGGTCATGCATTGTTTCGGTAGTGGGCAAGTGTTTTTGTTGTCGCAGTTACAGTTGTCAGTTTCCGTATTCTGTGATTGACTGTTCCTATATGTGCGTTGTGTTTGGTGATTATAGACTTAACGTTGTTCATGCAACTGTAGCTTACTTTTAAAGTGTTTCTGTTAAAAATCTTGTGTAGTTTGTGCTGTAGCGGGAAGTGTTTATCAATTAAACTTAAGAATTCCCGTCCTATGTTCGTGTTAACACTCTTACTAAATGGTGGGTTGAACCAAATTATGCTGCGTTGCCTAGTATTCCTACGTGTCCGTTGCGGTGCATTCTCAGTGTACGTAAATTCATGATCAAAGTTACTATGTGTAAGAGCGTTCTGGTAAATAGGTGTAGATTCCTTAAATGTTTGTTCGTCTGATGAGAGAAGTGCAATGCGTTTGTTGATAGCTGTAGGTAATTGTCTTGTAATGCTTGGTGGATGGTTTGAGTGTCTGTGGATGTACAATGGATCGTCATTGGGTTTCCTGTATGGTTTGTGTTTTGCGTTGATCAGGTCGAAAGTAACATCTAAAAATTTACAACGTTCATATTTACTTCGGCGGTGATTTTAAGGTCAAATTGCTCGAAAATTTTGTGTAGCTCTTTTCTAGTTTTGTCTAGTAAACGGGCGGATTTGCTTTTTATAACAGCCAAACCATCATCTCTATAAAGTCCGATGTTTTCCTTGCCAAACCTCTTACCTAAGTGATTTAAAATGAAAAGGCCTACCAGCTCACAAATTTCAGCGCCGTCGAAACTACCCATAGTGACGTCAAATAAACTGTTGCTTCCGTCTTTTTTTGTCCATAATTTGCCGTTGCCGAAAAGTAGAGATTTTCTTGCATGTTTTATTATTGAAATATCGTTTTCGGTAATAGTAGTCAAATCCGAAGCCCAGGCCAATGCTTCATTTAAAAGTTTTTTGGAAATAGATGGGTAAAAATCCACAATATCAAATGAAATAAAACTGTGCCTGTCTTTATCGTTTATATTGCCAAACCATGAAATTACTTGTTGCGTATTTCTCCATTGATTTGAATTTAGTTTTTGTCTCAAATTGGAATTAATTTTATCTAAAATAACCTTACTTAGTTTTCCGGATTCGCTTTTTGCGGGATTAATTAGTCAGCATTTTGGATTGTTTTCGAAATTTTCTTTGTGATCTTTTAAAGATATAAATGCTTCGCGTTTTTTCATTCGTTCAATTCTGTCGCCAATTCCTAACTTACTCGAAATTTCTTTCAATTCGAAAGGGAAATTCCGAGGTTGCGTTCTTTTTATACACCCTGTATTGAAGTAATCTAATGTTGTTAGAATTTGAATGGACTGGCACTTTGCTGAACGTAATAATGCGTAACTCCGTAAGCCTTGTTTTAGACATTGAATTTCGGTCGCGTGAAATGCAACAAAGACAATAGATGAAGGCCGAAGCTTAATGAGGTTTATCATCTCATTATTGTCTTAGCACTGAGTGCATAAATTATACACGTCCTAATTACGCATTCAGTAATATTTTTTGTTAGTTGACTGGGAAAAGCAAGACAAAATTTTGTTCATTTCTCGTTCAATTTTTAACCAAATTCAACCAAATTTTAATCAGTTCTTCCTTAGCCGATGGGAAATGCATTCAAAAAATTTCATACGGATATGTTTGGTATTTCTTGAGTTATCGTGCTCACAGACAAACACACACACATACACACACACACACATACACACACACACACATACACACACACATACACACACACACACACACACACACATACAAACCCAGATGATTACATAACCTCCTGGCGGAGGTAACCAGATGATTACATAACCTCCTGGCGGAGGTAACCAGATGATTACTCATCTGGTTACCATTATGTAATCATTATGTAATCTTGCATTACCTAACCTCCTGGCGGAGGTAATAACAATAGATTACTTCAATAGTTTGCGCGTAGGCGGAGGTATGCAGTCTCTGGGTGCCCTCCAGTTCAATATAAATTTCACATTATGTTCATTACGTAATGTCAACTAAATGATTCTTATATGAAGTTCGACGCGTGTCCAGTCCTCATATTAAATTAATAATATAACATTTTATCCTGCCCGTTTTACAGCCCTTCACGTCGTTAGCTCGGCCGAGTAAATACCTGTAGACCTAATATGAACACGTTTTCTGATTGGTTTTCTGAAATAGAAGTATAATCACCATGGATGGCTAATTCGTCAGAAACATAATTTCTACAGTTTATTGTCTTTGATTGCCATAATCAGCCGATCACCGCAATTATGCTTGCGCATGTAATTCGTGCATACAGGTATACGAAACGACCCTTGGCTCGGGGATAACATGCACAACTGGTGTATATATGCATGGGACAGTCTATACGGAAAAAGCTGCAACTGCACCGGCAATTATATAATAATTCCTCGTCATCCAAGCTGGGAAGTAGTTTTGCCACATTCTTATGAATCTTTCCTATAACCTAATCTAACTTACGATAATGTACCAATATGATCAATACTATACCTTATGATTATTCTACCAATTTCCATTTTCTATCTAGCAATTCTCTACATTAAATGAGAGATCCGGGCTTTTGAGGAAAACAACAAACACAGTAATTTTGCCACGCACATTCAGTTAAATGCGCAAATGACGTTTTTATTAATCCTGATATTTTAACTGTAATTTGCCAGGCATCAACATACAAACTAACCAACTACGTTATGCATTTAAAGAAATATGTCATAATTGTTATATGACAAGGAGAATAAATATGTTTTGCATAAATAACATCATAAAACTAAATGCTAAAATGGGTGTATAAGTAAAACTTAACATGCATGCGTAAGAAGTGCAACCTCAATGCATGCATACATGCATACAGAAATAAATACAAAGCGAATAAAATTAAGCTATCGTGCAATCATATAGCATATACAATACTAGCATATATTATAAGTGTTACACTTGGGTAACTAAAAGCTTCCTTATACAGGGTGACAGTATAAAAAAGGTCAAATACGCAATCCGGTTTAAAAATGCCGGTCGAAATCACATTTTCCACCGTTGAGAATTGCATGTATAAAGTTATTGTTTCAGTATTGAAATTATTCTCATTTCACATTTTGGATTCAAGCATCGAATGCATGTGCAAGCGTCAAGTTTTGATAAACTTTTACTCGCAATTTTACATCGAAAAGTTTAGTGGCTAAGACATTTTACAACACGGGAAGTTTGCAGACTACTCACATGCAATGGCATACGTTTTCCAAATAGGCAACAAACATTTGGGCAATTAATGCTCGAAATTTAAAACCCAAAGGTGGAAAAATGCGAATTCAACCGACCACTTTAATAATCGCAAATTCGCAATGATTCGACAAAGGTACCTTATCCGGCTTTATAAATACGAAAACAGAAGACCTTTAACCGTAATAATTCACGCACGATAGCCTGTCAAAGTTGGATTAACTTTTTTTATACACCGGCCCTGTATATATATAGGGTTATACAAGACTTCTATAAACGTCATATCTTACTGCGATTGCTAATACTGCAAATGATTAAATAGTACAGCACTATATCATTGCTATGTAACAGTACTGTATTAAAGTTACTACAAAAAGTACTTAAGCTAAAGTTTTATTCTAAGATGCCCAGCAGTAGATTCAATCTAAGTCTTTTTCTCGCGATTCATTTTCCCAATCAATTCTGGCTTGTCAGTGGCCACATTATCTAGAAAAGAAAGGTAATACACCATTGAGGCCAGGAACAATGACGTAGCTACGATCGGCAAAAAATCAGGAGGGGCCACCTCAAACATGATGAAAACTGAAAAGAAGGAAACAAAGTACGTACACATATAGGCGCACCCAATAAGTTTTTTTTAATTTAAAACTGCAAATACAACAAACGTTAAATTGAATAAAAGGTTTAAACAACGCTATATAAGGAGTAAAATATTCACAATCAGCCACTCAACGACACATTAACCTATATTTAGTAAGTTTGCCTTGTGACGTGATTTGCCAATAAAGCAAACTCTGCACGACCAACTTGCTCGTTGTTATTTTGATAATCAAAGAGGAATGCCCCGAATAATGGTAGGTTTATTTACCAAACTCTCCTTAGTTGCTGAAAACGAACATTAATCCAACTTCGATCAGGAGACTACAAATGGAGCCAACAGGACGCGAGATTTGAGATTTCCAAACACAGAAAAACAATTTGTGCAAAGAAATTTAGCGCGCGTGTTTTAACCAACAAAAAACGAAAAAGCCCTCGGTTGGTGTTTTAACCATGCAGTCTAATTAGCTACGTCACATGCCAGGAATCGATGCAATTTCGGTGTAATTGTGATTTGATTGGTAAATTAATAAACTGAATACTACACTAGGTCTTGTACTCATGGGACAAAACTGAAAGAAATAAAAATTAGAAAATTTAAAAGAAATACAGTATTCCTTGTGTTCTTACCCAATCATTAATTCAAGGCAATTAGAGCTGTCAAATTACTACAATACGTTATAGCTAATTTGAATTTGAAAGGGTTCAGTTTTTTTATACACCCTGTATTTTACAAGTACAGTACAACAACAGTAATATGATCTATTAGCAATTCGATTTCAATTCCCAGGGGCCTAAAATCCTTTATGCTTAAGAATTGCAAAGTGGATTTCTTAGGAAATTACGAGGTTACGTTTTTTTTATACACCCTGTATACTACCGTAAGATCTTTATTAATCTCCCCGGGATTATCAGCATTGAGGGTTACTTATTGAAGATAATGGAGCTAAAGAGATACATGGAGTATACATATAACTAATTCAATGGGAGTGAGAAATACTGTAATTAAAGTTAGAAATTAGCGGGCTACTAGAGAGGGGCAAGGTGGGTTTTTCGTCCGCCGAAAAGGGGGGAATTTGAAGATATACTAGAAGATTTATAGAAGATATAGAAGATTTATTTAACAACGAACCGTATTGGAGTAGCTGACATGAATATTCTGATTGTGATAAGCAAAGGGACCGCTGTTCTCACTCTTTGTTTTAGTTCTTTCAGTTAGTCCAACCGTTATGCAGTTGTGCATCTATCCGTAACGCGAACCTCAAATGCCTTTGTTAAAATTACCACTTTAGCTTCAAACGACGAACCGATCTGGTTGATAACATGCACTACCCTATGATGATATTACCGCAAGTGTATAATATTCATCAACACAAACCTTTTGAAATGCAGAACAGCAATTTCTTGATTGTTTCCTTCACCTTTTGCCAGAACAACGGTGTGCTGAGAGTGTATAGGATAGGATTGATCGCTGAGTTGATTGGTATGACACAAATCGAGAACCACATGTATAACTCGTTGCCTGAATCGTTGATAGCTCGTACAAGCGACAAAAGCAACAACATGGCGATTGGAACCCAGCAGCAAACGTCTGTGAAGACAACAGCAGCAAATCGTTTTGCCATGGTCGTATGAACTCCAAGGCGAGCGCTGTTTTTCGAATTCTTTGCGCTCGTGTAAGAGGAGTAGAACATTTGGCAGTAGGCTACAATAAGGTACATTGCACCAATGAAATTCATCGCACCAAACACAGCGAGACAATATTCCCAAGCGATGGTGTTTTCACCAGGTAACTGAAGCGGCATACAGATGGCGTTGGTTCCATAGAAGCCTTGTCTTAGGGTCTCATCGTAGAAATACGTGGAATCGACAGTTGCAGGAATAACAGCGATAGCAGTACAGCCGAACCACGTGACGACTAACAAAAACACAGCAGTGCGGTAACCGATCTTTTTGAATTCCAAAGCGCGAACAATGTGCAGGAATCTGTCGTAGGCAATGAACACAAGGGTAAAGACGGAGACTTCGCTTGATATGACGGATATTATACCAAATACTTTGCACAAACTACCAGTGCGCCAATAGAAATCATGCTTGTAGTATTCACCACGCGTTGTAATCTCCTGGTTTATGATTCCTGCCAAATAGACACCCATGAGCATATCACTGAAACTAAGACTGCAAATAAACATGTTTTGAACTCTGTTGGTATCGTCCTTCACCAGCCTCATAAGCAGAGCAAACACATTGCCACCGACCGTAAGTACAACCAAGAACCACATGAGATATCTGAGCTCGGCAAATTTAATCATTCTTTCACAATTGGCAATTTTATCGGCCGGAGCTTCGCATGTTGCGCCGGGTTTGAGATTTTCCACGAAACAGCAGTCTGTAAATCTATCTGTTTTCCTAAATAACATGAAAAATCAACATAATTTTCAAAATCATCTCGGTCTCTATTTTTCGAGTAAATGTATATATATATATATATATATATATATATATATATATATATATATATATATATATATATATATATATATATATATATATATATATATATACCGCCTGATGATTCTTTACTGATGAAACAGACTGTTGCGGAATTTTGAGGTAAGCGAAATTATATATATACATTATTTACTAGTTCTGTGTGTTACATGTGTACTGCTAACTGCAAGTCTCGACATGTCTTGTTGATGTTATTATTAAGAACTGCATTTCTGTATATGTTTTTTTTATGCGGTTCTTTATACAGAAATGCAGTTCTTAATAATAACATCAACAAGACATGACGAGACTTGCAGTTAGCAGTACACATGTAACACACAGAACTAGTAAACGTAACCTTGGCTCACCATCTGATGCCTTATAGCTCAATGGTTAGAGCGTCTGTCCGGTTATCAGAAGGTTACGTGCATGGTTCAATTCCCGTTAGGGCTCAGAATTTTTCCGAATATAGGCTTCATACGCATCCACACCAAATCATATATATATATATATATATATATATATATATATATATATATATATATATATATATATATATATATATATATATATATATATATATATATATATATATATATA